ATAGTATTGCCACTGCTGGAAAGGTCTAACATCACTGTGGTCTCATCCAATGCGCCTCTATGAAAAGTTTAGTTTGCTGATGCTGAAAGGAATAAGACGGTGAAGGAGGAGGAGGGAGAGGGATGAATGATAATATTAGGTTTTTAAAAAAATTATGCATCACGTGATGTGATATCATATGTGTACGGATTTTAATGAAACATTAACGGACACTAACTGCAGGGGTAGATTTGGTGAATTATCAGAAATAGTAGGGGTGGTGCAAGACAATAGTTAAATAGTAAGGGTATAGTTAGTCAATTAGCTAAGCAGTAAGGATAGTTTAAGAAATAGTAAGGATAGTTTAAGAAATTTATCCTAACATATTTTAAATAAATAACATATATATATATATATATATATTTCTATATATTTCTATAAATAAATATATAGCATATATACTGAATTGGATAAGAGGTGATCTAAATTCAATCCAAAAATCCGAGTTAAAGTGATACAAATTCAACTAAATAAGATCGGATCTCAAATCAGATTGAATCATGGTCCAATCCATTTACACCCCTACCTATAAATTGATAAAACAAAGAAATCTATTTTGCACTATCCAGCATGAGCTCAAATGTTCACCAATATAAATTCAAATCTGTCTAAAGTTGACTCATGAACTCATTTTGGTTGTCACTCTTGTTTGTGTATATCAAAGTTTTTGGAACATTGACAGGGTTTAAGGTATAAATATCATGTCCTCAATATAGGGATTGATGCCCATTTATTTCATATGTGCTGGCTAGTATCATCCTATCCAAGCTATATCGATCAATAAATGCTGATATGGGTAGGCTGCATAAGGAGCAGACTGAAGTGGAGATATCTAGGTAGATTCAAATTTGGATTATTTATATTTTAATAAGAATAATATTTAGATTTCAATTAGAAATTGAGAAGTATTAATAAATTAAACTAAAAATGATCAAAATAATACGTATTCTTAATAAAATGAATGAAAATAACTTTAATATTGTAATTCATGAACAAAATTAACTGAAACTAACTTAGAAATTTGATCCTACAGCAATCTAATAAAAACACGACAATCAAACCAACTTTATTAATATATGCAATATATTTTTTAAGTATATATGAGTATATATTTAAATTAAATTGAATAGGGTTCTATCAAATCGAATAGGGGTCAATCCATATTTGATCCAATTATAAATGGATTAAATTTGGATAATGGGGTCAAATTCAAATTCAAATTTGGAGAAATAGATACATTTTTGTGGCTTTAGTTATGGGTATAAATGGAGAGCAAGGTTTAGCTGAACACTTTGTTGTTCAGCGGGCTGTAGAACCAATGATCAGGTTCCACACAAGTAATAAAATACATGGACATGCACCTTTCATAGTGGGGCCTATGAATTTATTACTGGCGTGGAACCTCATCATTGGTTACACAACTTGCTAAACAACCAAAGCTTTCAGCTAATCTGAATTCATAAATGGATGATGACATGCCGGTGGAAGAATTTAAATTTGCTTATTTCGCCTTTTTAGCATATATTCTCTTCCATCTTCATCTTAAACATTTGTGAGAGAGTTCTTATCTGCAAAAACTCTCTAGTTCTTGCATTACAAAGGAAAAAAACTCATTGGAAGAAGAAGAAAATGAATGAATGAATTTTTGGGGAAAACCAAAAAATGTAATAGAGATCAGCATATTTCAGTGTTGGATGCAAGGATACTAGATACATTGACTTGTTGAACCTATGGTGGCTTTACTTGTATTAGTAGGTTAATGGATATTTTTTTCTCAAAAAATGGAGAAATCCAAAATTCATACAAATATTTTATTTTATATAATTTTCATGGCACGGAAATAACTATAAAATGGATCTATATATGAATGATCTATCAAATCCCTTGGTCCATCAACAATTTATGTCTAAGAATGATTTTTTTTTAATTTTTTGTAATTTATGTAAATGAGAAAATAATAAAAATAGACTAACTATTTTAGTAAAACTTACTAATTGCAATATAATATGATTTGTATCTTAAATATTCTAATGTATACGATATAGCTACTTAAGTTATGATTATAAATTTCTATAAATTATTTAATTTACAATATTTATTATTTAAGGTAATAGAAATATCAAAAAGAAAGCTTACTAAATTTATATTACTAGTTTTTAAGAAATTTTGTAGCCATTAGCTAACATATTAAGAATTTAATATTAGATGGAATTTTTTCGTAATATAAAAAAAGTAAAAAGTAGAAATGATATAATATAAAATAACTGATTTAGCAATTAGAATATAATAGTGACATATGATTTGTGTCTTAGATGAATCTTCTACACTCTTATGGATCTAATATATTTTAAAAGTACTCATAATATCAATGGCTCTATAAATATAATAATTTGTAATAAGCCATATAACATGCATGCATCTTGGACTCTTAGACCCAAATCTAAAGCTGCAATGCCATATGTATCCATTTCTGAGCTTAAAAATACACTTTAATAAAACTTGTTACCATATTTGTCTTGGACTCTTGAGCTTTGGTGCCTAACCGGCCTCTATCTCTTTTCATCTTATTTGCACACCGGCAGTCCAAATTCTGCATCCCAAAATCTGATGCAAAACTTGCACTACCTTCTTCTTTCCTACTTCAATTCTTTTATGCTCATAAAACAAGGACCATAGCATCTTACTTTCCAAGGATTAGAATATCAGTATGCACAATACCCAATGTATCCCTATGATCAATACTCATTCTTTAGTATTTTTAACTTTTTTATTTTATAATCATTAGAGGGTTGTGATTGACCCTTGGATTGTTTTAAAATGTTCTTAAAAAACCCTATATGGATGTATGCAATTATATCTGAATACATTAATACGAATATAATATTGATATTTTAATACTTGTTTCTTCTTTATTTCCAAACAAATAACCCCTTTACCTCTGCTCTCTTTCATGGGATTACTTCATTTTACATCTTACAAACAAATAGGATAGGGTTAAATATAAAACGCAGGTAAACCAGAATTTACATTCAACCTATTTGCACTCCCACTCATTTATAATAATGTAAACAAAATTCCCGTTGCCAACAAACTAAGCCTTACTATCATGTATAGGACCTAGTAATTGGATTGATGATTGAAAAATGCTTACAAATTCTTTCCTTTACTATAACATAGAGACAATATCTGATAAACAGCAAGGGGCTCTCTTTCGCATTGCATTTTTGAAAATCAGTCTGGATAAAGGAGGGATGTGTCAGATTGTTAGCTGGCACCAAAACTTTTGCCAACCCCTTATAAATTAAATATGAGAGAAGAAGAAAAAGAAGAAGAAGAACTTTGAATAGTGCATATAGGAAATTGACTCAACCTTTTTTTTTTTTTGCATGGGGATACATCGGAGGTAGCTCATCTTCCAAACCCATAACCCGCCAATCCAGGTGCAGACAGGATTTGATTCTAAGTCTCTGCTACAACCAGACAACCAGCAGGAGAACTTAATTAACCACCAGCCAGATGACACCTTGCCACTTATAAAAAGCAACTGGTTTTTCAGTATAAACGGTTAGCTCCATATGATATGATATAGCAATTATTTTTGTGTTGGAAAACAAAATTAGACATATTGATGAAAACATAAAAGTGGATACAATCTAGGGAAAATCTATGATGCGAAAAAGATATGATATGAAAAGAGTTTTGACCAATCAAAACCCATTCATGAATTTAGATAAATAACACCTGATTGGATACAGCGTTTATGATTCTAATTGACTGATCAAAAGTTTTTCAAATATCATATCTTTCCCATATCGTAGTGGAACCTACAATCTATGGTTCTAAGTAATGCAGTTATAAGTTATTCTTATTCAGCTGGATGATCATGAAAACTGAGAAGTATTATTATCAAACTAATTAGACATCTAACAATTCCCTGCTCACGGGAAAATTTCTATTGGCCTAAGAATTGTTTCACACAATTTTCATCCCCTGTCCACCACCTAAGAATTGATTCGCCTCAACTGCTTCTCCATCCACCTCGTTTTATATTTAGACCAATCATGTATATCCCACATTCCCACTTTCCATCATTTACATTTATTTTATCTAACAATATGAATAAATGACTGATGTTGAATCTATTATTAGAGGGAGTTTCGTGTTCACCAAGCAAATTACATATGCATCTTGCAACTTTAATTAATGCATCCACTGAATCCAATTACATATGTATGAAAAGTAGAAAAAATTAAACAAGGAAAGAATTCTTAAAAACGAATCAGAAAATCTCACCCAGAAAATAAAAATAAAAACAAAAAAAAGAAATAGAAAACGCTGTCATAATACTGATACCCTTCCTCTCTGGTAGGACGAACTCCCTTAATTTCCATGAAAAAAAAAAAAACAAAAAAATGAAGCAGTACCCGGGGGCTGGGTGTCCACCAACCCCTCGGTCCCCTCCCCTTTTTATCATTTTGCCAATTTTAAAGAGCTAAGTCTTGACTGAAGTCTGCTTACCAACCCTTTACCAACTCCGCTTGCCACGTGTAAATAAAAGACGGCATGGTGGTTGGTGAGCGGGCCCCTCAGCGTGGTTCCCTTTGTAATTCTGTACGCCGGTATCCGGGGGCTTAACTGATATCGTGGGATAGGAGCATTGCATACCATGACGTCATAAAAGGATAAAGAGACGTCACCCTCCAAAACCCAACCACCATCTTCACCTACACGGCTGAGGCTACACCAAAGTCACCAACCAGCAATAAGTCTAAAATGGTAGGGGTCCACATTGGCGTCGTAAGTCAGTGGGCCCCACAATCTTAGGGATCTCACCAACTCCTGCCCGGCGGGCGGTCGGTCAGTAGAACTGTAGAAGAGGAATCACCATCCCGTATTCCCGTCCTGGGTTGGAAGTCCACCAGCTTTGACAGTGTCGTCACTCCCATAAATACCTCCCCTTTGCTCCCTTTCTGATTCAGGGTAGACCTCCAAGACAGCAACCAAGACCAAGCTATCTTGAAAACAGGGGGAGAGAGAGGAAAGGAAAGGAGATAGCAGTAACAGTAATGGCGACCAAGCAAGAAGAGCAACAGAACAACCAGGCCGGAAGGCATCAAGAGGTCGGCCACAAGAGTCTCCTACAGAGCGATGCCCTCTACCAAGTATGCCTCTCTCTTTCAGACCCTTCATTGGCCTCTATCTTTTTTTTTTTTTTCTCATAACTAATTTTTTCTAATCTGTTTCTCAGTACATACTTGAAACCAGCGTGTACCCTAGAGAGCCGGAAGCCATGAAAGAGCTTCGAGAGTTGACAGCAAAACACCCATGGTGAGTCCAAGTCCTTCCTTTCGGCCCAGTTAGATAATATAAATTTGGTTTGTGTTAAATGCTGTGGGCTGGGATTAAATTTTCAAATGAAAAAAAAAATACAGGAATATCATGACGACTTCCGCCGATGAAGGTCAGTTCTTGAACATGCTCCTCAAACTCATCAACGCCAAGAACACCATGGAGATCGGCGTTTATACAGGATACTCTCTTCTCGCCACCGCCCTTGCTCTCCCCGACGACGGAAAGGTACAGAATAAGAAACATCGAATCGAAACAGAGCAACAGAAGAAAAGTATAATAAAGGGAATTGACATGTTGGGTCTTTGATTCCAATTTCAGATCCTGGCCATGGACATCAACCGGGAGAATTATGAATTGGGTCTCCCGGTAATTCAAAAGGCTGGAGTAGCGCACAAGATAGACTTCCGTGAGGGCCCTGCTCTGCCTGTCCTCGACCAGATGATCGAAGACGTAAGATAGCAACCCTCCTCCACTTTTTTTTCTTAGATCTTTTTCCTCAACTCATCATTCTTTCTATAAAATCTTTTTTCTTTTCAATCGTAAAAAAAAGAGCTCGGTTGTCGAATCGAAACCTGGGAATCTGACTGAGTGACTGTAAATGAATTACAGGGGAAGTATCACGGGTCATTCGATTTCATATTTGTGGACGCGGACAAGGACAATTATCTCAACTATCACAAGAGGCTGATAGAGCTGGTGAAGCTTGGTGGTTTGATCGGGTATGACAATACTCTTTGGAACGGATCGGTGGTGGCTCCACCGGACGCGCCCCTCCGCAAGTATGTGAGGTACTACAGGGACTTCGTTCTGGAGCTTAACAAGGCTCTGGCCGTGGATCCCAGGATCGAAATATGCCAACTCCCCGTGGGCGACGGAATCACCCTCTGCCGCCGTATCAGCTGAGGCCAAACTCCACAATCTAATCCCTCAATTCCCAACTCACCAGAATGGGGCGATCAAGAACAACGATGGAGTCGAGAAACTTCTTCATTTTCCTTTTTTATATTTCTTCCATTTGACGATATTTGAAATCTTTAATTTCATGATCCTCATAGCCTAAGACGAGATCGTTTAAGGAGGATTATTGTTATCATGTCAACGTATTGTTGTTAATGGCTTAATGCATAAAATTTAGTGGTTGTCTGTTGTTCGTGGAAAAAAAAGAGAATAAAATCTCTCTGATAGTCCGAAATGCTCTTTTGCCAAACTGGTTTTCGTTCATGGTGGCTTTGGTAACAAAAATAGCATTGCATTCTGTTTTTTTTTTTTATCTTTTTTTGGTAGACAAAACTGGAATTGATTAAGCAAAAGCATTCAAAGGTAATGGACCTTTAAGAAGATTGGCACAGCCGGTTTATAAACAGAAGCAATCTAACTCAAGGTTTAAACCTTGGAGCACAGCCAATTGATTCAGAAAACTACTGCCAGAAAAGGACCCTTCTGCTGCAGAATGATATAACCTTACCCAGATCTTTTATCTGTAAGAAAAGAAGTAAGAACCATCTGATACATTAAATGCAGAGCTTGTTCAAACAGGAATTGGCAGGATCAATGCGTTATGGAATTGGTGACAAGCCGACAATCAATTTTGACCAAACATATCTAACTTGAGTTTTTTCAACACCCAGTGTCAAATCAAGGTTATGCCTCATATTTGATTCGACCTTGGAAATGTCAAATGTGGTTCTATAATCCCTATGAGTTTGAGAGAGAGATAAACAATGCTTGGCGAAACAATGAGGTGCGGAGTTAGCAGACCTAGGTACAAACTATACAGAGCACGACGGGATTCTAGTTAAGTTACGCCACGAAAGAGGAGACGTATCAGTCTCCAACAGAGCTTTTGTCACTAATAATGAACCAAAGTGCAAAAACAAAAATGAACTTGAAAAAGATTGAATTCAATAAGTTGCAATATTTTCAATAAAATGAATTTCTAAAGTAGTGCGTGTGGATGTAGAGTAGAAGTTTTTTTTTTTATTAAAATTATCCTTTATTCTTTTTGTTTGAGGGCATAAAAGTTATTTTATTGTAGTTTTAATGTCAATTTTTATGGCTATTAAAATGTCCATATTTATCTATTTAGTCTATGTCCTTTTTCTTTGAGAGAGAGAGAGAAAGCCTAGGAGCAATATCATTCAATAGGAGACTCAGTTAGGGGCGAGTATTTGGTTTTTTCGCTTCGGTTTGAACCGAAAAAACCAAAAATTTCAAAACCGATTTAATAAGATGGCAAATCGAACTGAAACCGAAATATATAGATACCGAATAAACCGAACCGAATTTTTTTCGATTATTTCGGATATTTCAGTTAAAACCGAAATTAAGTCAAGCCTCCTTATGTGTTCTATAAAAACAGAGAAGAAGAAGAAGACGCCCTCAACGACAGCCGGCAGAGGCAGCCAACAAGTGTGGCACTCGGCGGTTGATACTCAACAAAATAGGGAAGCCTCAAGGGGTTGACACTACAACATGCCGGAGATCGGTTCCGGGAGGGAAGGATCAGGAGCGCGAGGCGGTTCCAAGATGGACGATTGGTTCCTATCTTTTGCAGGGGAGAAGAGGGAGCAAAAGAAGAGAAGAAGACAAAGTGACAAACTAATTGAGGAGGGGGCATGAAGTGTAGGACCAAGCGGGACCCACATTGGGTGGGTTTGTTTTGTTTTGAGAAGCTTTCTGGAGGAGGTTGCTGAATGGCGTTAGTTGCATGATAGATTGATAGTGCTTTTGGAACTTAGAATTCCTTGAGTAAATGATAGATTCAAATGATGCAAATGCCCCCTAATCTTATCAATGAGTAAAATTAAATTGGTTTTTTCGGTTAACTGATTTATCAATTATGATAGCTGAAACCGAAAACCGAAATACAAAATAACTGAATAATAAAATCGAATCCGACCAAAAAACTAATTAGACCAAACCGATTAAACCGAAACTGAAATTTTGGTTTGGTTTTTCAGTTTTAACCGAATTATGCTCACCCATAGACCCAGTTACATCATTTTGCACTATTTACTTTAAGAATGAGGGGGTTGACAACCAGGTACAGGTGGATGAACAAGATAATCCATACTTGGTAAGAGAGTGGGCAGCCACATTATCTATAAGAATACACAATTGAGAATCCTAGAAGGTGGTTAAGAATATCCTTGCAATTACGAAAGAGTGTAAGAACACTCCAAAGAGGTTGGATAGATTCCTCCAACAAGAACTTAACAAGAACATCTTAGTCACTTTCAATACTGGCCATGGATATGCCTCTTTCAACTGCAAACTGAAGACTTTCCATAAAAGAGCGACCTCCGACTCAAGAGCTAAACACGCTTCAAAAGGAATCACACGAGCAAATAGCAAAGAACCATTGTGATCTATGATAATAAAGCCTGCCACAGATCGCGAAGCGGAGGTGGCACCGTCAAAGTTGATTTTAACGAGTCCTGACGGGGGCTTGCACCATTTAGTAGGAGAAATGGAAACCATAGGAGGGATGCTTTTGGACGAATTGGGAAGGGCGCCTTTGGTTGATTGAGTAGCAAAGAATCGAGCTTTCAAAAGAATCAGATTTGGACTACAAACTTCCTTGTGGAAGATGGCAAAATTCCGCACTAACCGAAGGTGCCAGAGGATGGAAAAGGCTAGAACATACGGTTGGCAAGAACTCGAGGATGAATTCGTAGTAGAGATTCAATTAGACACCCAGTCGTGCAAAGAATTCTTAGGGATAAGGTTTGATGAGATACCCAGATTGGAGCCAAACCATACCATTTTGGCCACCCGACATTTGAGGAAAAGATGATCCATCGATTCTTCATCATCCGAGCACAGAGAGCATACGAATTCAATATTCATTTACACTTTCTTGAGTCTACACTTTGTGGGAAGTGCATCATTAAGGGCTCGCTACACAAAAAGCAGGATTTGGGGACAAATGCCTTTCAATTTCCAAAAACTAGACCACGAACAGTTTCTAGCTAGACCTGTTCATGGGTCGGGTCGGGTCGGGCCGGGCTTTCACTCTGTATTAACAGATTTTTTTAAGGCACGAGCCCGAGCCCGACCCAACCATTGGGCCTATAACTTGGGCCCAAGCCCAGCCCTCATAAAAAGCCCGAAGCCTGGGCCTGGGCCCGAGCCCGAAATTTATCCCATGTTGTTACTATTGCTGAAGCGACTGAATAGAGAGAGAGATAGAGAGTGAGAGAGAAATTACAAAGAAAAAAATAAAAAATATATACATTAAATTATAAATATATACATTTCAATAAATATTATATTATTTATATATTTTATATAATATATAAAATATATATTATGTATTTTATAAAATATATAATGCTAAGTCGGGCTGGGCTAGGCCGGGCTCGGGCCAGGCTTTTTTGACAAATCCCGAGCCCGGCCCATAACACAGTCAGGCTTAYTGTGTTAGGCCCGTGGGCCTAATTACATGACCAAGCCCGACCGGGGTGCGGGCCGGGCCAGGCCGGGCCATCGAGCTACCCGGCCCATGAACAAGTCTATTCCCAACCAAGGATCAAGTACTTGAGGAGCTAGGGAGTTTAGAAGTCAATAGACGGTATGCAAAAGCCGAAGTGAGTTGTCCATGGGAGTGAAAGTCCAAACCAATATGTCCTCCATCGTATCATATTGCAGTGGAAGATCCAATGATAGAATAGCATGTGAAGAAGAAGGGATGAACTTGCTAACAATCAAGTTCTGATCCCATTTCATGCATTAAAGATTGATCAATTCAGCTAAGAGTTGTGAGCATAGTCTTGGAGAATAGGTGGGGCTCTATTAGGTAGCCATGGGTCTAAGAGAGCACTAATTTGCTAGCCATTCCCCACAATCCATCTACAGCCTTTGTGCAAATGAGATCTACAAGCTAGAATACCATGCCAAATGTAAGAGTCACTCCCTTTTGGGTTAATGTTCCAAAAGTTAGAATTATTAACATATTTGGCCTGGAGGACTTTAGCCCAAATGGATGATGAATTCTTAAGAAATCCCTATCCGAGTTTAATGATTTGGACTTGATTTTTAAGGTCAAATCTCATAAGCCAAGACCATCAAGCTCCTTTGGTTGAGTGAGGGTAGACCATTTATGCAAATGCACTCCAAAATTCCCATAATCAGACCACCAGAAGTCCCTACAAATATTGTTGAGAGGTGCACAAATCTTTTTTAGGCAGTAAGTAGGTTTGCATGATGTATTGGGGCACCACTTGAAGAGTTGATTTAATAAGAGCCAATCTTCCTATGTGGGACAAAGTTCATTTCTTCTAACCTAAGAGCTTCGATTTCATTTTCTCAACCAAGTAGTTCCACTCTTGAGATTTCGACCTCCCCAAGAGAAACCTCTCATTGGGCTACATTATGGAGACTCCAAATTTTCCCATAATATGAGATCTAACTATTATATGAGTTTTGACACTAAAATGGATGGAGGATTTTTGAAAGTTGATCTCTTGAGTTGACCACTTGCAGAAGGAGGATAACACATCCATGATATGATAAACATTAGAATTGCAACACTTGCTCAAGATGACTAAGTCATCCACAAACGACAAATGGATTAACTTGACCCCTGAATTGCCCACTTCAAATCTATGAATGAGATTCTGATTAAGTTTTGCTTCTAGCATCCTAAATAGAACCTCTATGCAAAGAATGAACAGATAAGGCGAGAGTGGACAGCCTTGTCTAAGCCCACGAGATGGAGTGAAAGATTTGCTTGGATGACCATTAATGAGAATGGAAGACTTTGGAGTAGAAATATATTTAAAAATGAGCTCGTGAAATTCCTCTAGGAAACCAAAGCTATGGAGGAACTCCAAGAGAAACAACCATTCAATACGGTCGTAGGCTTTGGATAGATCCAATTTAAGCATGAAGAAATTGTATCTGCCCTTTTGTCTCTTCATAGAGTGAAGGACCTCTTGAATGATAATTGTGTTGTCTATTATGTTTCTGCTAGGAGTGAAGGCACTCTGGAGAGGAAATTTCAGCTTTGGCAAAATAGGCATCAGTCTATTTGCAATTATTTTAGCAATGAGTTTGTAGAGAACATTAGACAAACCAATCGGCCTAAATTCTCTAGGATTTTTAACAATCTTCATTTTGGGAATTAAGCATAAAAAGTAGAATTTACCTCTTGTAAAGAAGAGGTGTTATAAAAAATTCTCTATGCCCATGAGATAACATCACTACGAA